GTGGCAAGGAAAAAAAGCAAAAATAACTCCTTCTACGCTTTCCCAGAAAAAAAAAATTCTAAACCCAAAAGGACAAACAGTGCTGTAGATGCTCTGAGAACAAGCTAGAAAGTTGGTAGATTCCTTGTAGATTTCTAAGCTACTTTCCAAGGTATGCTGCAAGTAGAATTCTTGCGAAGTTTTCCTGCTCTCAGCCTCTAAGTTCAATCAGATCAAACAATGATCTGTATTCACAGTAACTCCCTCTTCCATTATCCTAGAAATTATTAAAAGTGCTGTTAAGATTAAGGATGATAAAGATTAATTTTATTTAAGTATAGTAGCTTAGATAACAACACAACAAATAAGATTACAGTATCTACAAGAAAATATTCAGGGTCAAATAGCACTGTAATTCCACCAGGAACTGAACTACAACTACTGCATTTTGAACAGAACCTATGAAACTACTTGAATTCATAGATTATTTTTAAGAAAAGTTTGACTTTTGCATATACATACAGAGAAATGACCACTTGCAAATATGTCTGGAAGAATCACCAAAGTATCTGTCTGGAAGAATCACAGAAACAGCACTCTATGTAAAGACTGGCCTTGTTTTAGATGTTAAACTGGGAACAAACACTGCTGAAAATATGACATTAAACACAGATAACTGATAGAAATTAGGCTCTAAACTCCTCTAAAAATCTGTCTGGAATTGTACTTGACCTAAGAAAAAGATACTGTTAATTAGACAGCAGCAACTGCAATGCAGTTAGGAGGGCAGCAAAGCAGTACTTAGTCTCTATGAGCCAAGCAGGGGTAGTGATTAATATTTTCAAACTTGTCATCTGATGTTTTCTGATGATTTCCAAAAATTTCTCTTTTCCACTTCAGCAGAAAAATAGCATCCAAGACAGGAAGACAAGATCCAGTCAGCACACTCACCTTGGGAAGGATGTAGGAGATACAGGTTAATGTAGTTGGTTTCCATCAGGCAAAAAAAAGCAATATGCTGCTGAATGTTCAGCTTTCGAGCTGTAACAATTCAGTCTTCATTTGTGGACTGTCTATAAGCCACTGAGTTAGCAAGGAAAAGATAAACACTGACTTCTATGATCTGTCTACACTTCCATGTAATGTACAGAATCCAGGCTGGCCTGAGCATCAAAAGCAGTCAAACTAGCAGCATAAAACTAGTAGACTAATTTTCACTGAAAAAAAAAAAAAGTAGCTTAGCTGTGTTTTTGGAGTGATTTGGACCCTTATACGTGCAAGTCTTATCAGAAGTTCATGGAATTTTGATTTTTGCTCTTCAAATGCTTTTGAAAACATTATGAACAATTAATTTCATAACTTGTTTCTGAACAGAATAAACCTTTTAAGCCTTCCAGCCTGGGGAGAAGAAAAAAGTCCAAATGGAAGGGGAAGAGAAAAATTATTACAACAAAAAATTCTCCCTAAATTTTATTGCCATTTACACTTTTAAAGTCATGAGTAACTATTTGAACATATGAAAAACATAGTAATTAGGAGCTGACATGACAGCAGAATCAGGCCAACATGTTTCACTGCATGTCACCGAAATTGCTGACCTCTTATTTCCATCACAAGCAATGAACTTGTAGTTAGGAAAGTGAAGCAATTAAAGGAGAGCAGAATGCTTTTTATCAGCTTTTGCAGTGGGAAGAAATTAAAATTCATATCCAAAGACTTCTACAAGAAATCAGAGTGCGGTCTTGACAGACACTGAAATTATCCAAGGAGGAAACTATGGAGCAATTTGAGGAAGGCATAAGCAGTAAATTACCAGGACCTGATGGTATTTCTCTGAAGCCTCTGAAAAAAAAATTAAGTTTAAAATGTGGAGATGCTACTCTTTCAAGCAGCTATCCACAGAGAATGACAGCACACTCATGTGGTGATTTGTTTTGTTTTTTTTCCTCTTCCTTTTAAACAAAAGAATTTGAGGAATATTTTGTTTCTGAGTGGAACATTATCAGGCAAACTGCAGATGAGGTCAAAGAAAGCACAGTAGAAGATAGAAAAACTGTTACATGGAGCAGTTTAATTCACATCAAGTCAGTTTTTGAGTTGATTTGTGCTCATGTGACTAGCCACTGACATGCATGAATATGAATATATATGTCAGTGGCTAGTCACATAAGCACAAACCAACTTGTGCTCATGTGCTTGATTCTCTGCGCTTAATGACATATGGGATGTTATGTCAATGTGCTAACCCACCAGGGCCTATGAGCGCGAAAACAAACTGTGTGCTCTTTCGCTGGCCTCTCCGTGCTGCCAGGACACAGCTTTGCACCCTAGCAAGATGATTCCCACCATTTCCCCTTGGACGCTTTTCCTTTCTCGAGCTCCTGGTGACCCCCGAACTTTAACAACTTACTCCTCCTAAAGAGGGGCCTGCACCTCCATTGCAGCAGCTTGTATCACCAGCCTGTTCACATCAGCCTTGGCAGCTCTCAGGAGGTGACATTCGGGGTGATGAGGTCTCGACAAAATTGACCACATAACTGGGAAGGTCTCACATTGGCAGACCCCCACAGGCGTTCCCAGCTCAATGCCCTTCTGTGTCCATGGATGCTGCAACCGCTGCAATGCAAGGTCATGTCTCCTCGATCTGAGATGCAGCCCTCAGGCATGGAAACAGTGCTGCTCCCTGCGATGCTGACACCAGGAGAGCTCCTCCACAGCACTTTTATATCTCAGTGTCCCACTCAGGCCTGCGGATTACCCTAAGTGGCTGATGATGTCTGGAAAATGTTTGGCAAAAGTCACACGCACAGATTAGTTTCTGGCAGGAAGCCAGTCGTAGCATCAGGCCCCAACGTGTACGTTTAATCCCATGACCCTTTTGGTCAGAAGGGGTCAGGGGCAACTCCACCATTCTATGGAACTGAATGAAAAAACAGTATTTCAATGAGACAAAGCCACTCTTCTGCTAACATTCACATTATTTTCTATACCTATTTATATTCCTAATATAGATATTTGCTAATTCCTAATATAGATATTTTCTTAATATGTAAATAGATACTTGTATCTTGTATGAAGCTACTAAGCTTCATACAAGAAAGATTTCTACATTTGATCACAGTTAATACTTGTTTCCAAATTAGGCATACAAATGCAGGAAACACTTAATATGCAATAATAATAACAAATGTGTGTATTTAATTAGCATTTTATGTAATTTATTAGGTTGAGTTTGCTTATATTCTGCATTCACCAACTGAAGAGTGTGGACTAAGTGTAAGGATTCAATTTCCTTGAGGGAATTTAATTTTTTTTTAAAGTACCTACCCCCATGCCCATTTCTTCTGAATTAATTAAATTCATTAATCAGTAAAACTGAGTACTTTATGTATATTATCATACAGGATTTTTTTTAACATGTTTTAGAAAAAACAGCAGGTTGTCGTACATTTATATGCATAAATATGTATTCCCGTGTATACAACAAAACATGGCTCTAGATGATTTTGCTTTCTGATCCTGAGTACTTCTCAGCTCATTTTTTTATTTTCCGAAACTGCAAGAAAGAGCAGAACAGAGCAGAAAAGAGAGTATTTCATTCTTATACAAGTTAATTCAATGGTACGTGAAGTCACAGTGAGGCTGCCTTCTCTAGGGACAAATTACAAGCTACTGTGTTAAACATCTGCCCTATTATTTCTCAGCCTTCCTGTTTCCTACAAGTTTCCTGTATGACTGAACAGCCATGTGCTTCAAACACAGCTACACCTAGAAGGGAAGCTTGCCCTAAGGGAAGTTAATGCACTCAGTGCTAAGATTCTGGGCATTACCTGTGAAATGCTGGACATTTTCAAGTCTGACTCTGGAACCTGAGGCCATTGCTGAAAAATGTACAGGATTAGGCAAATATTCTACAATATATTTTTGTGTTAAACCAGAGAATGGCCAGGAGTAATAACAGTTTAGCAACTCCAGACCAAAAAAAAGGGTTATAAATTTAATTATCCATCTTAATGTCTCCAACAATCAAGACTGTGTGCAAGAGCTGAAGAGCCAATGTATTTTACACAAGCACCTTCAGACCAGATATTTAAAGACATTTTGACATTGATTTCAAGGGAAGTTTGGTATCTGGGTATCTTTTATCTGTACCTTTGTGTTCCATAGAGAGAAAATTTGCCACAACAGCTACTGATCCATAAAATGTTCATGAGCCTCATGAGATGTACAATTATGCAAACTGTTCTTAATCCAGAAAAATACATCTATTTGGAAAGCAACAAGGGATTCCAAAACAGCTTAATGCAAGAAAAGGAAGAAACCATTCCTGCCTACACACAAAAACTGAACGAAAGAAAAGTTTAAAGAGTTTCTGTGTCTCTAAACAAGTCTACGTGAAAGCTCTAGAACAATAAACAGAAGGCAAAATGTCTTTTACATTGTAAATAATTACAACTTGGGATGTCAAACAGGACTGACAATAGATTATTAGCTCTTGCTTTCAATAGCTGGTGCAAACTGGAGAACAGACTACCATGCTATCATAGTTCTAAAATGATCACAATACACACCCCCACTCCAACCTTAACCCCCAAGTATTTAAGAAACACGGGGAGCTGCATGAACATGGAGGGAATCATTATTTTGAGAATTCACTGCTCCAGTGAGCAGTAAGGCAACCCAAAGATAGAGTCATGACAGTGAGACTGCAGTATGCTCATTCTTTTCTCTGAATATTAACACAAAAACTTTTTTTTTTTTAATGTCGAATCCTTTTCTTGCTGAAACCAAACTGCTGCACAGAAAAGATTCTGGAGCATTATTAGCCCGGAAGGATGCAGGTGGCTGCACCTGAACAAAATCCCGTAAGAATACAACAGAGTAGACATTATTCAGTCCAACCAAAGGTAGCATGGAAGTTAACATATCTGAATGTTAATTAGAGAAAGCAGAAATATCATTTTGGAGGGGAAAAAAAATGTTATTCCAAAAAAATCTTTTTTTTCAATGTACCTAGTTACCATCAAACCAGCCATTGATTTTCTCAGAGAACTCAGAGATGTAATAGGACCTATATTGATATGACATACAGAAAGCATTTAAATATCACACAAATAAGAACTAAAAGAGGTACTGAGAAATCTGTTTGCCCGTCCCATCGAAGGAGAGATCTCATAACTCTTAGTCACTTGTTAGCCAAAAGAAGGGATCCATCTAGCCAAATCAGCCACCTCTGCTGGGCGAACCCTGTTTGTTGAGACAGACTTTCACAGCAGCTAAACCTGTAGAACTTCCCTCTCAAAGGAAATGTCAGGGGGACATTTGGCTGAAGCAACCCCCTTGATAAAGGAGGTTAAAATATCTTTCCTCTACAAGGAGGTCAGTACCACTATTAAGGTTTACAGTGTTTCTGTTTTTTCTTTTTTTTTTTTTTTTGTCAGTGACCTGCTTTTTAGAACCTTTTTTTTTTTCTTCTTTTTCTATCTCTGCATGGAGCTTTATAGATATAAAAGGGTAACTTCATGTTCTTGGGAATTCAGTAAAATGCACTGCAGTCAATTCTGAAACACTGAGCACCTGCAATTCTGCCTGTAGTCAGGGTGCTCTGGGTGCTTCTGAGAAGTGTATAGGAATAGGACAGTAAACCAGGAAAAAAACAGTACAGCAAATAGCTCTACACACCTCTGCTAATTGGGAGAATACTCAGAAGACTAAACTGGTGAGGCTTTAAACACAGTCACAGGACTCATATTCAAAAAACGCTAAGGTTCCCAAAGAAATGGCTGAATCACAATGAAATGCCTACTCATTTCATTGTAACTATTTCAGATTTCTTACTGTGTTGAAAATGGAATTTTAGATAATGGGCAGCATAGGATTCAACTCACCAGCACTCTTCACAGTCAAAATCAGAAGCAGAGCAGCTGCTCATATGCTGAGGATCTACACAACAATCAGTCCTGTTTTTCAGTCTTGTGCAGTTTTTACGAACAATGTATCCCCTGAAAGCTAAAGAAACACAGTTATAAATCAACGTGCAATTCTCCAGAGCCCAAAACACAGACTGACAATTGGCTCTGCAGTCCAGAGTGCCTTCAGGTGTGACTGGATCAGTAAAGAGAAGGAGCATGTAGCACTTCATGGGAGCAGGTCTAATGTTTGCCATGTGTGCAATAGCTGGAAATTACACAGGACCTTATTCTCACTCTTATAGCAAGCACCAGGCCTAGTCAAGGCAGGGAAAAGAGGCCTTGAAATGAGAACATACCTAATTTAAATAGGAATTAATCCTAGAATGTATTAAAATACATACTAAAAACATGCTCCAAACACTGCCTATGCACCACTCCCATGATTGAAGTCAGAAATTTACAAAATGCTCAATTTTACCTGCTTTTCTGTACTAGTGGGGAAGCAGAGGGAGGAAGATTCAAGGCCAAATGCAAAAAAAAATCATAATGGCTTCTCCTACTTTTCAATTAACTGTAACCATAACTGAACATTCAAAATCTCTCTCATATAAATAATTATGAAAACAAGATTAGAACACAGATTGGGATTTATACCATTCATAAATAGAGCAGAATGAAGTAGCCACTACAAATACTAAATGAAGCAGCGAAATGAATTCATGAATAAAAAGGCAATGAATAACATTTTGAAAATACCTACCTTTTTTATTTCCATGTAATGTCTCTGGATTTGGGTACCTAAATAACTAAGTACTTTTAGACTTTTATTTGAATGATTTGGTTTGAAATCCTGGCACTGTGAGCAGTTGGTAATAAACCCCAATACAACCTACAGATAATGATACACATTACATTTAAGAAAGACTTTAGAAAATATCGCAATGTACAAATAAAACCACAAATTTTTAAAATGTAGTTTTTCAGTGGTTTGTATCAAACATTATCCTAAGCAAAACTCCGATGAAAGGACAGAAAGGGTTGAATGGCAAAGAAGCTAGATATGGTAGCAATAGCACAGTTTAAATGTACAATGAGAAGCTGCTGAACAAGAAGGCTGACAGCAATAAGGGAGAGGAGCTGTTTGTTAGTTCAACAGGAATGCAGCTCAGAGACAGTGAGGCAGTATACCCAAGAAAAATGGAGACAACATGAGGAAACATTATGACTTTGAAGAAAAAAGTGAAAAAAGTCCAGAAAAATCTTGTGTGCAACACACGCACAGAGCCCGTTGGGGGACTGCTCACGTGGAGGAAGAGGAGGAGAGTGAGCCCTCTCACTCAGAACACAGGGCTCAGTATTACACTGACACCAGTGGGATGGAGGACCAGCACGGCAGTGTGCTTTAGGGCAACCCCAAGTGGGATGTGAGCCAAGATAAAAGGTTGCAACTGATATCTTTTCTATTTTAATTCTCATACAGTGTTTAATGCCTTCTTTTCAACCAGAACCTTCGCAAAAATCTGTGTAGTTGTGTTTATCTGTGCAGTGTGCAATCTGTGAAAAAAAAAAAAAGACCTTTTTAACAGTCCAAGCAGTGGCAATGCAATGCACTAATATAATCTAAGCATTTCAGTACTACTGGGGTTTCTAGAGCAAGAAGCAGCAGAAGTGCCTTTTAATGAGAGGTCACTCACATAATACAATCATTCACTTCACAGAAGGCATGACAGAAGCTGGGCCTGCTGAGGTGTTGTACTAACACAGAGCGCAGGTATCAGGAGGCTGAGGAACTTTCTGCCCTCAATAATCAGACTGGAAAAGTCTGCCTGCCAGGCAGAGCCGAGGCAAACGTTCACTCGCCTCATGCCATCAGGCTTCCAATTCTTAACTATCCCCTACTGACCAGACAAGAAGCCTACTCGGATATTGGCAGCAAAGACAGCTGGCCAGCAGCCAGTTCTCTGCAGCTGAAACATGCTGAGGATCACTCGGTCTATGCACTGCTGCAAAGATAAAGCAGCACTGAAATAAACGAATTATTTGAGCATCGGCTTTCCTCTTAAAAATTTCTTGCCACGCATCAATGCTTTGCGTGTGTGATATCTGATGCTTTTTTTTTCCCTTTAGAAACTCTAATAATGGCAATATGTTAATTTTTGTCTTCCCCTCACTCAGTACATATAACTCATGATGTCTAATCTCATAAAAAGAGCTTTTCACACTGCCTGTTGTTTCCATCAGTAATTTCAAAATCAGCTCCACAGTCTGTTCTCAAACATTCTTCTAGAACACCTTGAATCTGCCAGGTAACGGCTGTATTTTTCCTACCTTGTCTTTGACTCATGGGATAACCGAAGCAGCAGGATGAACAAACATGTCTCTCAAAAGCCTTGTGCAGCAGGACTGTATCTTTTCAGCATTTATTAAGTGGATCTATAATGTTTCAAAAGAAATGCATATGCAGAGAATTCTACTGGGGGAGCTCGGAGGCTGGGAAGCTGCTCCATCACAGCAATTTGCATTACTGACTGGTGCTGGTTTTGACACTAAGCACTTGGCTCAAAGAGTGTGAAATTAGCAGACTCATGTTGCTAGTGCTCTGTGAACAATCACTGCATCATTGAAGAAGAATGATTACCAGCTGTCACCTCATTTTCACCTTACGCATTCTATATTGCAAATGTTACAGCAACAGTACCTTTAATCCTGATCTTTACATAGTTAATGATGACAGGATCTGAACTCGGGAAAAGCAAATGAGATCTGAAGTGAATTCTAGCACTCTTAGTTACTCAGTGCTAAATATTGTATGTGCCACAATTCAGGATGCGAATCTTTACTTCTTATACTGACTGATTCTCACGCAAAACGAGTTTTCCATCAGCTTCAGCGGGTAACAAACTAAGAATATATCTATTGGAAAGATTTTAAAGTGTGGTATTTTTCAGGTAAGGACCTTTAATCTAAGGTCTAACTACTAAGGCGCATACATTCCACACAAAGCTGCACAATTGCAGTTACTAAAAGTCCAGGCATTTTTCCTGTGATTCCCACAGGAACTATATGGTGGCAGGGTGAATTGTGAAGCACAGAGTAGAAAGATCAAAGCTAAACAATCACAGGTATATGTAAGTACCTAGAAAGGAGAGGAAGAAGTATTTTAAAACAGCCAAAGGATTCATTGTTAGTCATAAAAGATCATGTTAAGCAGAAATCTGCCACACAGATAAACATTTTAAAACTATAATACCTTCTAAAATAACATGTAACAACTTGGAAATGAAAGCTCATACTCTGTGGAAGAGAAGGTGCCAGAAGAGGATGGTAGTTTGTAATTAAAAATTTCAAACCTGATTTTCTACAAACAGCATTGGACTTTCTCAAGTCGCCTAGTTAAATGAGCATTTGACAGCTTAACTATCAACATCTGAGAGGATTTGGAGCCCATCAACAAGATCTTTTGCTCAATGCCAAATTTAATACTAGTGAATGGTACAAGAGATGGAAAGTGATATCCTTAACTAGGGTCCCATGAATGTCTCCCCTCTTTCACCTGGGAAGGTGTGACATTTAATAGCAGACAAAGCAAATCGTGCTCCACTTGCTCTGGCAGAAGCATTAGGAGAAATCAAGTCCCAGGTTCTTGCAACGGAGCGTTCTCCGGGTATCAAGCAGTGACTATTCACCACAGCTGCCATCAGGACTGCTATCATCATGCACATTGCTACATGCACGTGGCATTTTAATAACTCTACACTACAGTAAAAACGCTCTGGTCTTGGGATTTGTTTACAGAACAAAGAGTGTAGATGCATTTTTCAGGGTTGGCAAGGGAAAGGAGTAAGTTTTCCAAGGCTTCTTGTCCCTTCCTGATTTTATCAATGGCGTGAAACCCAGTAAGCAGAGTTTCCATGGTGGACTTAAAGCGGTCTCCTTTCCATCTCCTCAAAATCGAGGCAGAAAAAGCGAAAGAAATGTTCACATGAATGTAACCTAGCTGAGAGATGGGGACAGAATACTGGACCTTGTACTTCAAAATCGTAAGAGTTTCTCACTTGTCCTAACATGTTCCCTGCAAATGAGCAGCAGGCTTTTAATAGCTAATGTCAACCAAAGCTGTGCTGCCTGCACAAAAAAAAAAAAAAAAAAAAAAAAAAAAGAGATTGATTTGACCTGAACATGAAATCAAGATAATATAATGAGTCAGCTTAGCTATAATTAAGAGAAACATATACATCTCTTCAGTGGTTTCTATTGAAAATGTTGTTTAAAAAGAATAAAATGAGCAATATAAAAAAGTAAAACCAGACTTGTTACTCAGTGTTTGTTACTTCCAGGAAAATTCTAATAAAAAGATTTTCTCTTTTGGATATATTTATGAAGTGCTTAGAAGTTCTGGGGACATTCTCCTCACGTGTGAGCACACACACACATACATACTAATATAAATACCCAGGAAAACAGAGTTTTCAAGAAACACCTCCCTGTCTGCCATTGAAGTCAGCATTAAATCTTGAATGCACAGAAGTTACAGCGCTTTACAAAGGGAGGCCTCCTCTGGTTTCTTCCTGAACACCCATCACTTTTTGTTAAAAGAAAGAGCCCAAATCTTGGGTTCTCGGTAAAGAATTTTCCAATACAATGTGACATATGGTGAGTGTGCGAGCACGTGTTGGAGGAGGAGATGGTGGCTCAAAGGATTAGTCATTCGCCTTTCACCTCTGGAAGCAGAGTTAAACTCGGTCCAGAGCAGAGTTGCACAGTATATTCCAGATGGCTAAAGTGGGCCTAATTAAAATGAACTCAGTGATGTCACCTCAGATCCAAGTGAATTGCATGCACCACTCATTTGGCACTTTGGCAGTGTCAGCTCACAAATGAAATAAACAGATTAAAGTCCTCCCTTAAGTCTTTGGGGAGAACAGTCACTCTACATGGAAATACATGCTATCATAACAAGAAAATGTACTTTTATAATAGTACTTAAAAATTAATGCATTATCCTAATACAAAGAAATATTAAATGAGACTTGCATGTGAGATAAATCAGCGTAGCAACATTTCAGTCAGATGATTCAGTGGAAAAACCCTGATTTAAATCAGCTGTGAATCTGGCAACATACATAACTTGAAAAATTATTTTAACAAAATCTTTTTCTTTCATGTAGACCTTAAAAATATGTTAAATACATACATACATACATATATATACACACACACACACACACACACACAAAACCTAATTGTAAGAAAACACAGTGCAAAGTATAATTATCTCAAATATACAAATCATTCTTCACAAGGTAAGGAAAGTAAAAAAATCCTCCAAAGTAAAAAGTTATCATCTAACTTTCACTGTTTGGGAAACTGTCTTAAAGAAGTGGGTAGGATCTTGTATACCCTGAAGATTTTATCCAAGAGTCTGGTAACATCTGTGTATCTGAGAACTTGTATTGCTGATATGCTGAAGTAGGGTAGCTTTTTTTTCCCCACCTAATTTAAATTCACAAGCATTTTGTTTTCTAGCAAGGGTACTTTCTCCCACCTAAAATAATGACTTATTTTGATTTAATACTATACACTTAGGAAATGTATCCTCATGTATATTAAGATTTTTTTTTAAGTTTGTTTTTTCTTCCAACATTTCATCAATGGATAGTGAACTGCTGGGCCCACAGAGATCTCCAGACCTCCAGCTCATGTATTTGAAAGGCATCTGTTTATTTTTAAAATGCAAATGCAGCTACCTCAAAGACTGACTTGCAAGAAATGAACAATCTGAACAAGTCAAGAGGTTTCCAATCAGGAGCTGTGTTCCTCCTTTATATCAGGCTATGATCACTTGCTGTCAAAACCACTTAAACAATATCCTGGAATCTGAATGAAGTCCCCCCACAATTAAAATGAGCAGGATAATCCTGCAAGAATTATTCAGGCAAATCATTTTTCACACAGTTTAAAGTAATGATAAGGTCATTTACAAAAGAAATCAGCGCCTTTGAAATGCTGACTTGTAGACAGAGGACTGCCTGGAGGAGGGCCATAGATAACAGTGAAGACTGGCCTCCTAACACTACCCTTGCAGTCTTTGGAACTGATTCTGATGAAGAGAAGGCCCAATAAGGTTAATACCCCTACTTTGATCTCTGTCAAAGCGTACCAGCAAGAATTAATTTACATTTCAGATGAAAAAGGTTGACAGCATGAAAAGGCATCTTGTTTCTGGTATGTGAATGTGCTGTAATAGATCGGGAATTCTGAAAGGAAGTTCTGAGGAAGCTAAAGGGATAAGCCGAGCGGCTGCTTTTATTGGGAAAGAGATGAAAGGAAAACAAATTTCAATATGCGCTGTTCTGTAGAAACATGTAAGCCAAATGCTTCCTAAATTTCAAGGCCTGCTTTCATTGGGGGCGGGGGGAGAAGAAGGAGGGAAAGTAGAGGGAAGTACATATATTTTAATTACATGGTTTTGCTAATGTCTGGGTGACAAACAATTTATCTCTCTGTTCATAAAAAAAAAAAAAAAAAAGATGATCATACTCCTTCTTATTGAAAAGCTGCCTTTAACTACACACTTATCTTAGAAGATGTAAAGAGAGATTCAGGCTTGCATTTGTCTCCCTCCTGTCACTAGACACTTGGGCAGTATAACATAAACAACAGAAAGATTGATCAGAAAGACTGATAGACTGCCTTAAAACCCAGAAAATGGCCATTATTTGCAATCATGAGCTTTATATACATACATATAAAGAAAAGCTTTTTTTTTTAAAAAAAAAAAAAAAAGAACAGAGAACGATTAACATGTAGAAAAAAGCAAATGTGCATAAAAAGAATTTTCAATTCAAAAGTCCTAGATACAACTTTACATAGGCTGGGGATAACACACGTTGAGGATGATGATTATTACTCCTATTATAATTATTATGATTATTACTATTGTACCTCGCCCAAGGCAGTGCCAAAAGGAGGCGGTGCAGCCAGCCTAATTAATACAAATGAAGGCATCCTGGGCCACGAGCAGCTCCCGCTCCGGTGGCTGAAGCCACCAAGCGGCGGTGCCTGGTGGGGGGAGGCTCTTGCGGCCCCAGCCGCAGCTCCCAGGCACCCCAGAGACGCCACCACACTCGACGCGCCGGACGCTGCCGCTGCCTCTGCGTCACAGGGAGCAACACAGCTCCCAACCTCTCTCGTGGGTGCAAACATCAGAATACTTCGGCTGCTTTCTCTAAAGAGTTACTAATGTAAGCATTTGCCTGCGAGGCCAAGTGTTGCACTTCCTACTGCAAAGGTACTGTAAAAGCCTGAAACTGGAGTTCAGGTACGGCCAGTTGCAAATGTAACAAATACTGCAGAAAACAGCAGTGCCTTACAGGACATTAAGGAGCCCTGTCTGAAGATCTGCAATCTGTGCCAGCTTGAGAACAACAGCAGATGACACCACGAGGGAGGGGAAGAGAAGAACATGTTTGTGCCGTCTTTAGTGCTTGTTTTAATGCTTAAAAAAGTACTTCACAAGTGTTCTCTGTTTAAAAGAGTATTATGCATTTGATTTGAGAGCAACAGTTTATGGTAACACAGGACAGTATGCAGAGCCATAAATTACTATTTTTTCCTAATGGTACTTTGTTCCTTTCTGTAACCAGATTGGTGGTATTCAGCTTTCTGATGAAAGTCACAGTGATGCTCAGTTTCAGAGTAGCAAACTTAGATAAAAGAAAAAAAAAAGTTGGATTTATGGGAAGTGGCTTGAGAACAGCATGAAGTGAAAGAGCAGATCCTTTCTAACTTTTATATGATATAATACAGAAAAGAGAGCAATAAAGCTCATGGAATTACAGCCTAGGCAGATAGAAGGATAATGGTGGTACCTTGGTTAATCAGTACAGGCATTTGCTACAACTCATTTTTAATCTGCTGCAGAAGTCTTCCACCTGAAGCTGGACAGGGAAGGTGCAGTAAGCTGAACTGTACGCAGGCTGCTTCATACTGGCAGCATGTGAAACCAGCACTGAGTTCATAGCACTGGTTCTTGGATTTCTGTGCCATATGGTACCCTGCTCTTTACTAGAGACCTACACAATCCATCCCGTGGGCCTGTTTGGGCCTGTTTCTCCAATCATCTCTTTACAGTTTATTCAGATTCACATTGATAAGGATGCATAGGAGCCTGGCAGAAAGTCAGTGGAATGGCCAGAGCAGGCAAACTCAGAAAGCCGTTGAAACGAAAACTTGGCAACCTCCCAGGAACAGGACTTAACACAGAGAAATATACATTCAGTGCCTTCCATCCATGGTTTTAGACAAATAAATACTCACACCAGCTCTACACATGGTTAAATCACATCGACCCAGAATCTTAAAGAATTCGCTCAATAGCATTTAATCACTAGGTTTTCCTTCCAGAGAGATTCTTGTAAGTAACCCCAAGTGTCTGATACCTGACGCTGATGTCATCTGATCCCAAAGATCAAGCGATCAGAAGTACCACTTATGTTTGGAGTGTACATATTTCTCTTGGCTACAAACACTGACACATGAAATCACTCATAGCAAAATAGGTGTTGGCAAATGAAATAATGTTTTAATTACCTGCTTGAATATGTATAGCAGCATCAGTTCTTCTGTTCCTTATTTCCCTGTACTTCCTGCGAGCTTCATATCCTCTCCAGGCTAAAAATACAAAACCATGTGCTGGAAATTACATTTATTTAAAGGAGTGCTACAGAGTCAGTGATGTGGTGAAACTTTCATCCCTTCTGCCGTAGCCACTCCACTTCCCCCCCTCACCCACCCACGTGTTGAACTCTGCATTCACAACTACAGCATTCACAGTCCCACAACTTCAAACACTGCATCACTCATCCAAATTTTATTTGTCAGCATCTGCTCACTGGTGTCATAATCCAAAAGGCAAAGGTGCACGATCACTGGACACCCATGGGCAGCACAAGAACTACCCTCCTCACATATCTCCCCTAAATTCAACATAAGGAAGTCTGCTAAGTTACTGCTAAGCAGCCTCTCAGGCCCAACCAATGATTTACATTATCTCAAGTTCTGGTACACATGAGAGAGCAGGAAGGGAGGAGAGAGACAGAGACACATGTGCTGCGTGCTAGTGTAGCAACACCTAGAATACATCCATTTTGTGCACAGGCAATACATCTAAAATATTAAATAAAAACATTACCAATTACTACGTTGACACCTTAGAAGTAAATTAACAGCATTTGCATCAATTAGCTGAAAAGTACCTCCGGTTATTTTGATTTCGCAACGAATTATAACGAATGAATGAATAATGTACATGCAATTTAACAACTTGAAATGCCAAGATACCCAGTAAAATATGGAATGTGAATATTTACCTGACTGTATGGCAACAGCACTATTTTCTCTTTTCTCTTTGACTTTCTTGTACCTCCTTGCTCCGAGCCATCCCTTGATATAGGCTTGCATTACTACAACCCTGCCTATAACTTCTCGTAGGAACAAATTTAACTGCTCTATATGGTAATACTTAAGAAAAACCTGAAATGGAACAATAAATTCAGTATTACTTGCAGGTAATAGCAGTAAACAAGAGATTACGCTATTTGGTTAGTCTCAGGTCAACCTCTACTATGGCATTGTTGTTGGGAAAAAATAAAAAAGTTGCGGATATTTTAGCAATCCTGTGAATCCTGATCTCAGCCTGCTTGGGAAATTCTATTATTCCATTGATTATAATCACCCCTTTGTATGAAAAGGCCACACATTTACCCCTAAACAAAGTAAATTGGTCAGGGAGGTGTTTTCAGGTATCGATAATTCTATAACATAGTCTATCTAGACAGTAGGAAGATAAATCCTTTGGTGAATTTGTTGTTAGACAGAATACTTGTTAACCACATTTTACTTCAGGAAGCACATCATGCTACACACTTTTTTTTCTGGGCCTTTTTTCTGTCCTTACCAAAGCAGTCACGCGGGGAGGGTGCTTGGGGAGGTATTCTTCCCCCTGCAGAACAAACTCACCTGGCTTGGAGGGCACCTCCATAACATGGGAGGCCAGCTAACTGAAACAAGTTTCTTGCTCCTTTTTTTCTAGTACACAGTACTTTGCAAATCTCTACTAGACTTGTTTTGCTAAAAGCAGACACTATCCTTGAGAAGACATGAGCATGCTCTACCTTGGTTTTCCCAAGAATACAGTTGTCTAGTTTAGATTTTTCCAAAATGGCAAGACAATTTTCTCTGCTACCAAGAGGAGTCTCATGTGCCTTGAAAGCCAGGTAGTAATACCTGAAAAGCCAAATGACAAAGAAAGAGTTAACCAGAGAATAAACATGCACTTCGATTGCTTTTCTCTGTCACAATTGCACCCCTAAAACTCCACAGCCAAATCCTCACTTTTGCACTCAGTCCTCTTTTCACAATTGAGGAAGACAGACCTTTCCTGAGATTATACTGGAATATACACTTCCAGGGAATAAGTGCTACTGTAGTGGTGACAAGAATCTGCTGCATTCTTGCAATCTCTAGTCATTGTAGTTATTTATAATCTTATTTTACAAAACTTAGAAAACATGCAAGGTTGCTCTGAAATTTTCAGAACAAGAGAATGAATGATAGGAAGAAGGAAAAGTGATACAAATAGAAAAAAAGGAGTGCAAAAAATATAAACCTTTTGCATAATGTGTATAAAATAAGTAAGCCATCTACTCGGTACAATAAGATACTTCTACACTGTTATACATCACCAAAAGCCTTTAAGTTCTGTTGAACCTGCAGGTTCTGCATGCATTGCCCACTATCCAGTGGATACTTACAGATTCTCAAGTGCAAGAAAAGTCAAAACGATTACAAAGGAGGAGAAAGCTACCAAAAGCATCATGACCTGACGGCTATTTTTCATGTCAGAAATGCCAGGAAATGCAATTTCATCCCTAGACTCTTTCAATATGTAAGTCATTGGTATTTGGTTATTTTTTGCAAAGCTATCAGTCTTGCAAATCAGTCTTGATAGTTTGGAGGGAAATGTAAATCTACACAAGAATTCCAAGGAGCTTGTAACAAGACCACCCCCATCAGTGAATGTCAGGTCATCTTTCCACTTTCAATATGCCTAATAAAAGACTGCAGTTAATCAGTGAAGATAAAGGCCAGGGTTTGCAGTACAGCGTTTACAGCTCTTCGTCTGTATTAATGACACTGACTGATAAGAGAAACTGAAAGGATGCCACTATGTGAGAAGAATAAGATTAATTTATAGTAAAAAAGACTCTCATATTAATCTTAACTTACAGAGATCAGGACACTGAGACTGCATGAATGTCCACCTGTGTTTCATACCTCCAGAAAAGCTCATGCATGTGCATAACTGAAATGACTGGCATTGCCTACCTTATCCTGAAGGATTTTATCAGTCTGGATGATCAACAGAGCTTGCTGTGTTTTTAAAGAAAAGAACAAGCAAATTACTCCTCTCCTAAATTAAACCATTTTCTTAATTCACCAGAATTTCTGTGGTTGTGATTAGGTTTGCAAGTCATTAGGTATGGTGGCTTTTTTTTTGTTTGATAGGGATAGTCGGGAAGATTATGATTGATTAATGGCTTTTGGATCAGGTCCATAGTAAACAACGATAACTTTTGCTTTGTCCAGCTTTCCATGTTTACATGCGAAGAACAGCATCGAACAATTATGTGAAGTAAAATTATTGTGCAAATAGTTAATGAAAAAGGCATGCAAACATGTTTGTACTGAACAGACATTTAGAATGAATGCCCAGTTCCTGCCTGCCAATTCACTGCGTGTTCATGGATGGCGGTTTTATAATATTTAAGTAACTCTATGCACAAGCTATTATATAAAATAAGTAACAGCAGAATGTGTGCTAATTTGTTTACAAATTTAAGGTTGTTTTATCATAGATATAATGCTAGACTTTAGTGACCACCACCTCGACTCTCATTTATTAACTGCTTGTCTCCTGCATTAAGTTATACTTCTACAGGAACGACTCTATTTGCACTGTGTTTCAAAGGAATTGGTGGCTTCAGCAAACTGTTCTTTTAATTATTAACATGATGAAGAACCATCAGATGTTCTTTAAAATACAAAGCGAGGAATGTGACCAGTGAGTCTCAAATATATACTCCTCTGTAGCCACATGCAGGCAAGAAAAAATCCTACCCTGTACTAAAGAAAATATGGAAAAGCAATTACGAAGAATGAAGTAATGCAGCACTTCTTTTTTTTTTTTAACCAAAATATGATTTTTAAATATTAGCTCCAGTTAATCTCTAGAGATTAGCTCCAGTTGTCATAAGAAAGAAAAAAGAACCACTAAAACAGTCAATAAAGATCAAAGGGGAACAAAATGATGTCTGAAGGCAAAAGTACTGGAATCAGTCCTAGACCAGAGACATTCACTCAGCAGCTGAAGACACTGCCTACTCCAAATGGCGATGGGAGATAATATATTACAGAGTTAAGGTTTTAATGTAGCGATTTTCTCACTAACATGATACTGCAATTTTTTTAGCCAAGTCTTTCAAAACACTGAGAGTCATGGCATTTAGCAGGTATGAAGAAACAGGGTGTATTTAAAAGAAAAATAAAAGACTTGCCTCTGCTTTACAATTAATCATAACAGTGAGCTTTTAGAAGACAAAAACCATTCCGAGCTGCTCTAGTAAAACACAGATTTAAAATGTACATAACCTAAACAAAATTTTATAGCGTGCAATTTCAACATATATTTGACAGATACTTCGGGGAAGTTACACCAATAGAAAATTGGCATCTGCTTCAAAACGCAGTTCAGATACTCATGACATTTACCCATGTGTGTAACCTAAACACTTTCTTGTTCCTTCTTGGAAGGAAGGATTCAAGTGAATGCTAATATCAGTTTCCTGATTGTTCATGACTCTTTTAATGCACACTGTAGTCCGGATGTTTAAAACTGTGGAAGTTTTTACGCAGACTGATGCAGAAAATAGCTGTGGAGGTTCTCACTATTTTTGGATCTTAGTATCTTGCCAATGACAGGCACATGATTGAAAAGTTGACTTCTTATTTGTGACAAACACCTGACTACATTTCTGAGGTGTGAATTTACATATTTGACTCTGCAGGTTAGTTTATGACAAACTTTAATAATTTTCAAATCCAGTATCCCCTCCCTCCTCCATTACATCTCTTTCACTATCTAGCATTTACTTTCTTTTGATACTTAAGAAAAAAAATCTGTAAATATCTGAAAAAAGTGGCAGTTTCTCAAATCTAATCCTATTTTACCAAATCTTGTTTTGACTAAATGTCTTATTACATTATGTACATTCTATGTCTTATTATGTCTCATATGTTTATGTTAAAAAAAAGAGCTTACTTAGAAGGGCAGTAGCTTTTACAAACCATGCGAAAAACTTCATTTTCTGTATGTAACCACATCACCATGTTGTCTTCAAATATTTCATAAAAACTTGCTCTAAATTGTGATTTTCTTAAATTCTTTGCTGACTTGACCATTGCACAGAAGACTCCTGTGACTGGTTAAATGTGCTGGTGTGTCGGATTCTCTCCATCAAGTGTTCCTACTCCTTCCCAGTTATGATGACAAATCCAAGGGCAGAAGGGACTCCATTTATCAGAAATAAGGACTACGAGACTAGTGATTCCCTTCTGATTACTTGCGCTTCAGAACTGACTTTGGAGTTTGCATTTTGCCCAATGAAGGGTCTCTAAAATAATGACCCAAAACTCAAATCCTTATTTATTTATCTATTTTTAGCAAATGCTCTGTTTTCCAACTGGTTCCTACTTCCATTTGTGTAACTACAAATATACAAATAGTTTGACATGATATGCTCAGGATAACTCTCTGGGAACACAAATGCCACATAGGGCATATTCCATATTTGCATTTGCAATTCCAGCAGAAAATGCCACGATCCTGAATATTCCAGAGATCTTTTATGTTAACTTATTATTGTTTATTTGCTTTCTTTTATATTAATTTATTAATGTTTATTTCAATTTAAAAAAATAAAATTTACAGTTCTTCATGTGTCATTTCATAATCATGAAAGGTCTTAATGAAAGAATAACGAAAGCCTTAGCAAACACAGGTAATTTCACCATAATCCACTTTGGATTTAAATCAGACATTCATTATATTATTAATTTTTAATGCACACAAAAAATCATGAAGGATATACACTGCAAAAATCTCTACCTTAAAATGTTTGGAATTAGAGAAGAAAAAAAAATTACATGTTTTGGAAATAGATGCAGTAAGACTTAAAGAAAGCCTAAGTAGATAAGAACAGTCTTACTACTAGAGCAGCCTTCTCAAATGGCTGCAGGTTAAAGTAAGGCTCTGCCTTCTGTATAAATAAGATACCACTTAGGTGGGAGTGTTAGCACTGATACTGTTTTAGAAACCATAGTGAATGCACGTAATAATATTCCTATTATTAATATCAATATTAAAAATATAATTAAGTTTTTTAACAGTAGTTGGGCATTAAATTATATTTTTTAAAAGTTGACCTTATCACTACATCTGTAACTGCAAAGCTAGGACATGCAGAGTGTTAGAGACAATCAAGTATGCTAAGAAATGAAAAAAAATAGGATGATGCCATGCATGTGATTATGGACAAGGCATTTTAGTGTCGGTAAGTTTAGATTGGATAAACTGATTGCAAACAAACAGTTCAGTTCCTCTCCCCTCCCATCCTTAAGTGTGAACAGTAGAACTGATCAATAAATAGCATTTGACTGGAACCTTTGACTACTCTACCAACTGCTCTTACAAAAGTTCTCTCTGCATTCCAGAAGTAAAGGCAGTAGCAATTCCACACAACTAACTCAACCAAAGTAATGATCAATTGTTTTTCTATTTAAAATATATCCCCAACAGGATCCTTATGCCGATGTGCACTGTAAAATTATAGAAGGACACTCTACTTCACTTAGGATCACCACAATTCAATAATATCACTGGATTTTGCCCCCAGTGTACAATCAGAATAGCATCATCAGGCTACGCTGAGGATACAATTCATAGAAAAAGTGCATCCTACCACTACTGCAGACCAAAACTACCCAAACATGGGCTGGCAAAGAAAAGGTAAAAAGACAGCAAAGAGAGATAACAATCCTTTTATGAAACTTGTACAAAACTTCTCAACACATTCCTGTGTGCTCATGAGGTACCTGAATCCTGACACCACCTAGCAGCACCACACTCTCAAGGTTCCCGTCTTTCAGCACATGACACGGTACATGGCAGACTACAGGAGAAGCGCTTACGCAGGGGATCTTGGAGGAGGGCCCACCTGCACCCCACAACATGGCACGTGAGGTTCTTGGGGCCTGAACACTGGCACACAGCACGGAGCACCCCATCCGCCTGGGCTGCTGGAGCAGTTCCCCAGGAGACACCCTCCACCCTTTGCTGCTCACAGGCACCGCATGGCCCCCATGCTGAGCTCACCTGGTTCCCAGCTCGGGTTAGCAAACGGCACCCAAAACTTGCGATTGCAGCTGCTGAGCAAGGGGGCCACAGTGCTTCGCAGCAGCCTGCTACAACAGGCACTCTGTGGCAGCGAGCACGAGACAGAGCCCATGACCTGACAGGGCTATGGTGTTTACAGGCACTGAACAGCACTATCTTTCCTACTCAACACATACTCACCTACGTGTGTGTATGTACATAACGATAATGTTTATAAAAAATATAAAAAACAGATGGTTGTATTCTTGGTTAAATAAATTGTGTGTGAATGAGTTACAATTAAATCTTCTCCTGACCATCTGTTTTTTAACTAACTTCCAGGTTTGCAACACTGTGAAATAATCTGTTCTAAATGAGAACAGTAGACAGCGAAGAGAAACACTGAAGAAACAGAGCTTTATCTTTTGTTTACCTCCCACCTGATAAACCCTGAATGGCTCTGCTCCCTGCCTTTGATTGTTTTGTCCTCATATTTCCTGCTAAGAGTTTACAAAACAGCATTATTGAACAGGCAGATAAGAAGCACACCTATTTGTTTAATAACATCAAGGGAGAAAAAGTGCTGGCTCATCCTTTTTGTTGTTAAGTTACTCAAAAGGATCAAAATACCAATTAACTTGCTAGCTTAGAAAATCTTTGATATCCTCAGATTTACTGACATTTTGAAACTCTTGTTCATACTTGCCTAATGTCTTTTTGATTATGAATAAAGAAGTGCCAATCTGTTTAGCATTTGACCTGTTTTCTCAAAGATTTTTATGTATTCAACTGCGTAGTGCCTAAGAACACTTGATTAGTCACAACTGTAAGCTGAAGCTAAATGTTTCCTGTTCCATACCTATTTTAAACATTCTTCATGATTTTTTTTTCAACAGCAAAACAGAATAGAAGTTGTTTAAAATAAAGCCTGGAGACAGAAACACCAAGCCCCCCTTCTCCTTTCCATTCAGGGTCTGAACTCATTCAGAAAGTCAGATGTGCTGCTGGGCAAGCTGCTGAATTCCCCCCTGTCCTGTCGCTTTCCAGGTCTACTCTCTTTCCTGAAATAATTGTATCAGGTTGGACTAAAAACTTGGGGAATACCTGACAAGACGATAAACACAACTTGCCCTTATCTGCATGATAGAAAGCTACAGCCAGCACTGCTTTTATTACCATTACTTTTCAAGGTTATACTCTAATTCAGTGTACTTTAAAATGAAATAAACTATTGATTAGAGGAGGCCTAATCTGCTCTCAATTTACACTAATTTCAATGGAGTTAAGCTTAGTTCACTTACGTGTAAATTGGATAAATGTTAAGGTTAGTAATTCTGACTTTGGCCTCTTCAGGATGTTGTGAAGATGTGTCAGTAATCACAAAACAAAACAAAATCCCTTTGTTAATCCTATTTTAGACTTTACTAAAATTAGTCATGTTACGAATGAAGAGTTGGGAGGAAAATCATGTCCAAAAATTTCAGTTTGTTCTTTTCCTGGACACCAATGGTCCAGCTGGCCTGGTCCCATCTTCCTCACACCCCCTCATCAGATATATATAAACACTGATAAGATCCCTCTGAGCCCTCTCTTCTCTGGACTGAACAGAGCTCTCCCAGCCTTTCCTCATGAGAGATGCTCCAGCCCTTTCACTACCTCCTGGTCCTTTCCTGGCCTTGTTCCACTGCATCCGTGGGTCTCCTGCACTGGGGACCCAGCACTGGCATTCACCAGGGCTCCTTCGAGGGGAAAGGTCACCTGCCTGGGCCTCCTGGCAATGCTCTTTCTGGCGTGGCCCAACACAGCACTGGCCCTCCTGGCCCTGAGGTGAGGCCCGGCACGCAGCCAGCTTGGGCCCACTAAGGGCCCCCAGGCACTTTCTGCATAGCTGCTCTCCAGCTGGTCTGCTGGGAACACCCGTGGAAAAACTGGGCAAAATAAGGGGAAGTGGGTGGGAACAAGAGGGAAAAGGAGGGGAAAAGGAGAAAGGTGGACAGGAGGAGGAAGGCCAATATTTTTATATGAAGAGTCTGCATAGGGAATCATGCTGGCACAACCATACAGTTTTGAATTCATGCATTAGATTCTGCCAGTATGGCTTTTCTACATCCCGAAGTCTGTAACTAATCATTCGATGCCCTATTCACAAATATATTTTGAAACCCCTCCCTTTTTTTTTTTTTTTTTTTTTTTTTACAGAGTGGTATGTTTGATATCAATATTGATATATATATATTTTTTAGACATTAGTGCTTTATTGTCTGATCTAATTAAAGTCCTCTATCTTGAGACTGACACTCTCAGAAAACCTTTTTCAAAACTTTTGTATCACGTGCATATTCTTCAGTTACCTTTTTAAGTCATTATATTACTGAAGCACGATGTACATTGCCATATGTTGCCTCTATGAACATACATCGCCGGGACAGACCAGTTACTGAAAACTAAGTGCTTATTGCTGGTCTCACACTGACTTTTCTCCTTCAGAGCATTAACGCTTGTAGCACTTACCTCTGACAGTCACTGCTCTCACTAGAATCAGGCCATACATATACAAAAAAAATGTCTGTAACTGTCTGTATCTAAACATATGATATACTTTACTGAAGGAGTTTTAAAATGAGTGCCATGTTTCAGAAGGGAACAGTCTTACCTTTTCACAAACTCTTCGAAGAGGATGCGATGAGAATACCCCTTTTGACGTATTTTGACAGTTTCTAGAATTCCTGTGTATCTTAGCTGCACTAAAACTCTCTTGTGAGAAAATGTCAGTGCCTCTCGATCATCATTAGGTTTAATGCAACGGATAAAGTGAGGCTGTCCAACAACCATTTTGGATAAAAGATCCATGAGGGAATACTAGAGGGGAAAAGAAAGATACACAGACTTCAAACATACAACACAAATATTCAAGCAGGAAAGGTGTGAGTAGCACATAAGTTTTGAATAGATCTCAAGGAGTTGTAAAGCTCTTAATTTTTCTAATATTTTAATTGTTCAATTTTTAATCTGCACTGACATTGTACTTTTTAACTTCTGCCTAAAATAAGAATCCATTAAAATTTTCAATTATCAAAAACAAAACAAAACACCTCCAGTTGTTATTTCTTCCTTCTCTCCCGTCCCCACTCCTCACATCACTTTGTCTATTGTAAAGAATGGCCCAAATTAAAAAGTTTTAAATCACAAATGTCCCAACTAAATATCTACTCTAACCACATTTGGTCAAATAATATCCGCAGCAGGAAAAGCAACTTTACAGTTAATCAAATGAACACAGAAACTCACAGAGAAGAGGTTGCAAGAAATCATTAGTTCAGTCCTCTCCTCAAAGACAGCACTGGATATATCTGTACCATTTCAGGCACATCTCTGTGTAACCTGATTCTCACAATCACAGAGGATGCAGACTGCACAACCTCCCTTGGCAAGCTAAGGCAGTGCCGTATTATCATGGCCCTTCACGAGGTTCTGAACATCTACACCACACCTTCCTATTGAAAAGCCAGCTCATTATTTCTTGCTCATTCTACCCCTTGACATGGAAAATAGTTTCTTCCCTTCCATTGTGCTCTAAAATAAAAACAGTATGATTAGGTTTTACCTATCTGCTTCTCCAGGGACTCCTCTAACTACTGATATTTCTGCTCCATCCTCAGCTTCCTACCCTCCTGAAGATTAGTCACTTGTTGCAAATACAGTCACTCTCAAAGCATGACGAGATCTTTGACCCAAGCGGCCAGCACAGCACTGTCCGTCTCCTCCATTTTGCATTGCCAAAGATCATACCCTAAAATAGGAGGCCATAGTTTGCCGCTTCATGTTAGTTGTTTCCTCAGGGTGTCGCATCACCTCCATTGTGTCAACCTGGAAGACAAAACGCAAATGCTAGAGCTATCCCACCAAAATTACTGAGCACCCGCTATCTCAGATCTGAAAGCTGG